ATGTACAGCAATCTATAGAGGATTAGCACGTTTGCAGCCTTGGTATGCGCGATGAACTTTGAGCACGCTGATCTAATTGATGATTACAGGCTTCAGGAGCGAACGACGGACCGCGATGAGCAGGGTTCTCGCTAGAAGTGTGACGGCTGCGGCCGGTCCCTTCGGACATGCGGATCCCCCTCCAGCAGTTAGCGCCGGCTCGATTCTCTGCTCACTCCAGTTCCTCCAAGGTACCATTACTTTCTGCCTTAGAACGCATTTGACACACATAAAGGATCATTATTAATTAATTAATTAATTAATAATTATTATTAACATTAGGAACCACTATAAATCCTGGAGAATACCAGAATTTATAATGGTAGCACCTAGTTAGGTCCCAGAAAAGAATGCGGCAACAATTCCGCTAACATCGCGCGACTTCCACGCATTCCGCTTGGCTGCTTCAAGACATGCCTATGCGGAACGGAGTTTGTTCGGTGCAGCACTAGGCGGTTTCCCGCAATTACGGTAAAGGAGTATCCTAAAGGGCAAAGACTCCATCATGGTGACCGTACAATGGAGATCAGACTTTGATGAAGAATTCAAAATGGGTTCACTCCCTACGACCAACAGCGAGAATGTTTGGCTTCGACAGCCGCTGGAACATCTTATAAAACTCGGCGAGAGCGGTCCACCTTTGTTAATCCGTCAGCTCCCTAGTTTCTTCCCTACGACCAACAGCGAGAATGTTTGGCTTCGACAGCCGCTGGAACATCTTATAAAACTCGGCGAGAGCGGTCCACCTTTGTTGATCCGTCAGCTCCCTAGTTTCTAAGAGCAAACGAGTTCATTCCCGTCACTTCAGTACCGACCCATCGCAACATTAACACCTTCGTCACCTCGGACAACTGTCGCGGCTGAGTATTCGAAACTTCCCTATCACGGAGACCGAAAGGTACATGCTGTTTCGCGCCTCTTACACTGACGTCTCCTCCGCAATGCTTTCCTATAACTAGCCTTGTGAAAGCCCATCGATTTTCGGTTGACTCCGAACGACAGTTCCTTCCAGCGCACGAGAAGGCTCTACTAGGAGTGAGCACGTCCCGTATGTCACTGCCCGACATCCTCGGCATTACGATGAAGGGCACGCATTTCCCAGCTGCAGTCAGGATTATAGAGCTACATGAGGATGAGCCAGAACTTTGGCGTAGCGACTGCCACTCTCGCAACATATGCTGTATGGCCTAATGCTGTAGGCCTATAAAATCTTCGCACTCGAACATCCCTATCACGGAGACCGGAAGGGACATGCAAGCGCCCCTGGCCGGCACCTCCCGCCGACTCGCTTCCCTGCCCATTTCGTCAGCTATAAACCCTTCACCAAACTATTACTTGCTCCTCTGCAACGCAATCGGTACACGAAAATGTGTAGAGGGAGTTCTGAGAAGTTCTAACTACTGTGTACTAAATTCACGACCTCGTGACTTTGCTACAGTACCTAGATCGATGGTCAAGAACGTACCAGGCACAATACATCGGAGAGGAGCACCATGGTCACGAGGAATGTCTTTCCCATTCATACTGTAAGCAATGATAACTTCAGGACTCATTGCTTTCTCGAAAGGGATAGAAGCACCATAGGACTGACCTGAAATTTGTGCATCGACGCCTAAAAGCAGAAAAAAAACTAAAAACTCGACTGGAAGTCGAAGCAACAAATATTATAACGTCACCTGTCAGATCGGAATCGGCGCCTTCCAAATGAACATGCTTAATTTTCGAATTGTTGGGATCTACTCCAGCCAATAACAATAAGTCCTGGAAAAGAGGCCGGGAATAGATGAACGGACATATGGTTAGCACCCCAGCTTATCATTAGCTCAGACAAAGCATGTATAAGCATATCGCTTTTATGGAACCATTTCTACGAGTAATTTGAAAAGAAAGAAAGCGGAGTGTGAAACCTCCAATCTACGATGCCGCGACGCGCAAAGTAGCTTGCATTTCCTGGCTATTTAATCTACTGCAGCACTTCCGCATTAAATCAATCAGGTTCTGCTGCGATGCGACGTGACAGTGCTTGCTACCACACCTTTCCAGCGTCGCTGTAACGGGAATGTAACGTGATGGCTTGTTAAACTGAGTAGGAGGAAGCGGGCGGCTCGGGATGCATTCGAGATCGTCAAGGGAGTACCAAAAAGAAGAAGAACACCATGATTTGTCCACCCCTCCGACTCCGCGGTCCTACAGCTTATGCCTTGAATTCTTGGGCTCCTCATTCAACGCGCCATCGAAGGAGCAATGCTCGGACTTTTCCGCTACATGCCGGTGAGAAAGGGTATTTGGAGCTTTGCTCTTCGTCGGCGACCGAAGATCACGGACGCAGCCATTTGCCAAGGTTTCGAGGATCAGTTTGGCCGGGGGTGCCGTGCTTTCAAAAGTGACCGCTGGACCAGAGCGATCACCGACTGGATTGCAGGGGATACCAGACAAATACCTGCGAGCGGAATCCCCCTACGACACTCGCTGCGGGAGATGGGAGCATATCGATTTTACTCTGCGTTGAATCCATACTCTTTTGGCGCATTTCCCTGTGTATTCGCACAGAGAATGCGCCAAAAGAGTATGGATGCAGAGCAGTAAGAGCCAGAGAGACGAGGGGCATAGTAGAGATAACGGCAGGGATGGAGATTTACAAGGGGATTTTTCCCTTCGAGGGGGAGTACAGTATACGGCTCTTAGACGACCGCCTACGCGATGGTCAGACTTCTTCGTGAAAGCTCTGCACGAATACTATGATGTTTATCGTGTCCGTTGTAGAACTTATTGGGATACTCTGGCACGTGCAAGGACGAATGGAGACGTTACTAACGCCCGCTCATGCAACTCGATGATCAAAGGGAGCACAGGTGGTACAGATGATATAAAAAGTAGGTGACAGAGGTCTGTAACTAACATCACTCCGCTTTGTATGCTTATCGCTGCCACGAAACAAGCGGAAAATGATGGTCTTTGCAGAGAAGATTTTAGTAGAGGTCTGAACAACTTACACGCAAGCGAACTCCTGTCCATTCTGCATTACTGATAGCAGTTCCTGTCCAGGTCAGGCCTTGCGTTTTTTTGTACCTGATAAAATATGTACCAATAAAGATAATTACATACACACAAGAAGAAAATTATGAATTGACTAGGCGGCGAACTGGGAGCTTGGTTCCATGATGGAACTTTCGAAAACCTGATTATTTTGTGTTTTGTGATATACTGCCACCGCAGACCGCTTCCATACTTTGCGACACCAAATAATCGCGAATCCGTGCTTTTTTGAAGGGAAAAGGTACGTAACGATATTCACGAGTCCGCCTAAGTGGAGAATCAGCGACCACACGCGGCACAGCGCGCTGGAAGAATCTAATACTCATGATGTCTTGATAACTTTTCGAGCTATCCACTCATATTCGCTCGGAACCATGATCAACTGCGCCATGTGCCAATTCGCTAATTTCTATCCAAGCAGAAAAATCTCTGAGATGTCAAGATGACACTGACACAGTAAAATTGATATACTCTAGTTCGCTGCGGATGAAGAGGCGTGTTAGGTATTAGGTTGTCCGGAAAGTTCTCAGCGTTTTGTATTACTATTTTTGTACATTCATTGCTGATTAAAAACTCATTCCCTTGCGTCTCAGTAGTACATCCTGAAGAGAATTTTCCCTTTTTTCAAGATTTTTTCAAGCATGTGAAAAGAGCACTTCGGACGATTTTTTTCTTCGACTATAAATTGGGGCAATCCGCAATCGAAACAGCTCAACAAATTAACCAGGTGTGGGGGCCAATAGTGCTAGAGAAAGCACTGTGCGGCAATGGCTCAACAAATTTCGTTCTGGAGATTTCAGCCTTGAAGATGAACCTCATAGCGGTCGACCTAAAGCAATACCTGACGAGGATTTGAAGGCGTTTGTGGAGGCTGACCCATCCCAAACAGTTCGAGAGATTGCAGAAAAGCTAGGCGTTGGCAAATCCACTGTTGCAGATGGTCTGGAACGCATTGGGAAGGTGAAAAAACTCGACAATTGGGTGCCCCACAATCGGAGTGACCGGCAGGAATCGGCACGTCTCGAGGTTCCTTCTGCACTGCTTTTGCGCAGCAGAAACGACCGTTTTTGGACCGAATTGTCACCTGTGATGAAAAATGGGTCATGTATGATAACAGGAGACGTTCCGGACAGTGGTTGGATTTCGACGAACCACCGAGGCAATTTCCAAAGCCGAATCCTCACGAAAAAAAGATTATGGTCACAGTGTGGTGGTCATCGGCTGGTGTGATCCACTATAACTTTTTGTCACCAGGCCAAACCATCACAGCAGAGTCCTACTGTGAAGAAATCGACGAAATGTACCGAAAATTGCGTCAGCTGCAGCCAGCACTTGACAGAAAGGGTCCGATTCTTTTGCATGACAACGCCCGTCACAAATCACTATCCATAAATTGAACGAATTGGGGGTTGAAGTTCTACCTACCCGCCATATTCTCCAGACCTTTCACCAACCGACTATCACCTTTTCAAACATTTTCAGAACTTCCTTGCTGGAAAATACTTCATCAATCAGGACCAGGCAAAAAAGCCCGTAGATTTCGTGGATTCTCGACCACCCAGTTTTTTCTTTGATGGGATTTATCGACTGGTGTCACATTGGCAAAAGTGTGCTGATTCGAATGGTGCTTATTTCGATTAAATCCGATGAGTATTAACACGTTGACGACGAGCCGTTTTTTTTCATGAATTGCCCGTGGGACGGCACGTTTTTCTTCGTAGAAACTTAGTAATTTTTGAATAAATGAATGGCTACGGTCAAAGTGTTTCAAGAAATGCAAAATCTCGAATCTTTGACACAATTTAGCTTTTATTGCTCCAATCTTCCAAAACCAGGCCATTTTTTACCAACTTCTTCCTCTGGAGGCATATTTGGCTAAAAATTTGTCTCCCGGTGTAGCTTCACCTCCTAAAGATTCATATCGCATCCCCTTGGCCCGAAAATCCTTTTTAGAAAAGAAAATGAAACAACCGCGCAGATTTTGATTATATAATGACTGTCGGGCAGCATTGGGTTACGCCGTCCCACAAGATAAAATGGCTGTCGTCCACCATTGACGGAAATCTTCGTCAACGCATTAAGTGGACATATTCTTGTTTAGGGGGTTGAACTACCCCTAGGAACAAATTTTCAGCTAATTTGGTGATTTACGGTATTTTGGCGCGGGCGCCAGGCGGTCTCGTGGCAAGCGATTCATATATTCGTGCCAAGCAGCTGTGGTATTCATTTCAGAGGACAAGCTACCCCCCAGGGACACGTTTACGACAAACTTGGCTGTTCGTCCATCTTTATTCTTAGAAAATATACTGGCAGACACCATTGTCTGCCATCGTCCCATGAGACAGACTGGCTGTCAGCCACCATTGTCTGCCATCGTCGTCAACGTGTTAAGAAATTTATGATCGTTTAGAGTGAAACACTCAAAATGCTGAGAACTTTCCGGACAACCTAATAGTATGAGTATGCCACGGGGCCAAGCCCGTTCGCTGCCTTGTTGAAGCGGGTATGGAACGAACCCATCCCGCCTGACGCCCCCTTAAAGGCAGTTGGCACGATAAATCGCTATACAGGTGTAGGATTTGTACAACTGGCTTAACAGAATTCCGTGACCTCGGACAGGCGCTGCGTGAAGCCTTTTCCAAGGAGGGTACCTCTATAACGCCCTATTGAGCAACAACTTTACGTCCCGCCTTCCTTGCCCGCCCGCCCACAAACGGACGACCGTTTCCTGACGCTCGTTCATTCATTTGCTGAGCAAATTATGAAGCAAAGGGATTGGTATGAAGCGGCGGTGATGCTGCATGCATATATGGGTACACATATGCAGCCGTATCTTCGGTAGCGGTGATTGGCAAGATGCGTACGGGAAACTCGTCCGAAATCGATTTACAAGTCACTGAGAACGGAGGCTTTTTCTTCGCAGGATTTTGACCGTTTCACTCCGTTCTTTCGCCATTTCCCCACTATACAGCGCCCTACTAGCATTTTAGGCTAAGTAGGAAACCATCGTGCCAACTGCCTTTAATCCGCAGCGAGCTAGGCTATAAATATCTAGTCCTTTCGGCGCACTCTGCCAATCTCCATAACCTCGATAGGCGTTCATCCTTTCAACGGTTTCTGCAATCCTCCAGCGTGTTGCGATGGACAACTCGAGGGGAATTTTCCGTTTTGTAAAACGCAATAAATTACAACAAAGAAACCACAGAAATATCTCTCAGCTCGAGATTTTCAAGGTTGGGGGAAGAGAAACGGATGGGTGCGTTTCATACAGGAAGTTCACCAATCCCTCAGAGACAGCAACCTTTTCAATACCCTTGTTTTCTGTACATTACTCAAAAGCTTCTGGTAGTTTTTTTTAATTGTCGTCTCTTTGGGAGGAGGTCTTCATTGCTGAATTCTTAAGAGGCCGCAGACTGCTTCATTGCCATATGTATGTTTCGGCAGAAACGCCTTCTACAGAGCGTGCATGTGTCGAGGTGCCACTCGAGGTGACGAAACATTGGTATGGCGCACCTAAATAAGGGTGGCTCGCACTGGGTGCGACAAGGCTTGGTGATTAGCTGCGAAGTGAGCTCATTAACGAGCAAAAGCTTATATGTCATCTTGTTATCCATATATTTTTATAAAAGTGTGGAAAGTCCAATAAACTGAGAAATACAACAAATGAAATATTTGTTGAAATCTTCCTTACACGGAAAAAAAGCAAAATCATTAAGGTGGTCCTCGAGAGAAAGAGAGGGTGAGACTTGATCAACACAACAGGTAGCTGCTGCTGCAGAAAACCGTACGCAGGCGTTGGTGCAGAAGGAAAAGTAGGGTGGGGATACAT